AGAAGCATCAATGAAAGGCACAGCCAGACGCCAGCCAGACTTTGTGAATTTTATTGCGATTTCATATCTGTGTAGAATAAGCCAATACAAGTGACCTAACAGCTTATTTACTCACAGGATTGTTCCAGAAGTGCAGCGGTGGGTTTTTCACGACTTTAATCCTGGCAGTCGAGAGGTACATCATATGGCTGAGATACTCTAGTGTGTACTGGCACGCAGCGATGGTCACGAGTAAACTGTTACGCTCCGCTGTTGCCTCCAGTGTGAAGTAGGGGTCAGAATTGGTTTGAGATTTGACACTGGCTCCAAAACAATACCAGTTCATGTACCGTAAATCCTCTACTATCGGCATGTATTCCATTACATTAGCCGGTCTCGCCGTCAGCGGGGTAAATAAAGGCCGGCTTTATGGCACAAAACCAGCTGCAGTTTTGACAACATTAAGTACTATTGATCTTAAAATATTTTAATAAATAGCGTACTTACCCACTGTTTAATGAATTACAGTGTCACAAAACACGACGGCAAGTCTGATCACATATAAACATTAGAGTAATTTCCCACTTTCTGTTCTCAAGTCCCGCGTGATGTTGTGACTATCACGCAACTTTCCAAGACGCGCTCAGCGGCACGTGCTGTGTGAGCACTTGACTTCTCAAAATCGTGGTTGTGACGCGGCGCGTCCGTCTCTGGTGTGCCCCAGGCTTCACTTACTTTGTTGACTGGGTGTAAAAATGCCCAAATTCCGTGCGATCGGGACAAAAACAAACGTTTTTTTTTTCGTGTCCCAAAAGTAGTGCGCCACAAAGGACTTAACTTACTGAGCAAAGACGGAATGGTGGATCATAATCTCCGGCTGCAAGATAAGCAGAAATGGAATGGAAAATGCTCCAGTTTGCAGTGATCACTTCACCACGTTTTTTATGGCGTTTTATTGAACAGCTTAGAAGAGCAGCTACAAAAACAGCAGGTAAACAGTTTGATACTGTTTTCACGTGTCCTCACCGCAAATAGCTTGTAGAGTGCTAATGTTTTTAGCAGTTAGCTTAGTGTTGTAACGTGGAACTGCGGAGGAAGAGGATTAAACTGTTGGAGGATTTGTTTTAATTTTTTTTACTTCAAACCAAACGAGACACGAACGGTTAAATTTGGAGCGGTAAGGCATCTGTTGCCTTTTATTGTGAATCAATAACCTAATTATCACCAAGTGTTTACAATGCACTACCGGCATGTTTGCTACCATGCTGGGATTTAGCCTGAAACAACGTGTTTGTTGTAAATGTTCTATATGCATATGCACGTACAATGTTAACTGTACATTTTCAATAAACAAACCTAGTGCTTTCTAGGTTCAAACAGACAGAAAATATTGTTTTTATTCATTCTACTGGTAGTTTGTTTTGGTCAAATTCGAATTGAAGTCTGCCTCTAATTCTGGCCTCCTTCCAATAAAGGCCTGAACCAGGTTGCGCTTGAGTAAATAAAGGCCCGGGCCTGTATTAAAGGATTTATGGTATTTATTTAAAGTTGTTCTGCAGCTAGCAAACAATTACAAGCATTTTTAAAAAGTGTGCAAGTCAAACCAAACTCACACTGGCAATAGTTGCAACCCCAAACTTGTGTTGACTGAGTAAAATCAAAGAAAAACTAGAAATTTGTGTTTCTAAAGAGAAAACTAGAAACCAAATCTACGTGGCACTTCCCTGTTCTGTCTCATATGACTCCTGTCACCAAGCCGTTCAGTCTCAGTATACAAAGAAATCCTCTTAAAGCTTTTGGCCCCTTTGACGTTTTATGCTGCTTTTGAACTCTCCATTTCAACTGACTTTTCTGCATGACCCCAAGCCTCGGGGTGACCTTCACCCCTCCTCTTTTCTCCCCCCCTGTGGCTGCAGTGGTCTGGAACCACCAGAGCTCCTTCACACATCCCCACACACCAACACAAAATGAGAAGTGGCAGTGTTGCTGAGTTAGGTCAGGATGTAATGCGCGGTAATGTCCTGGCCTCGAGGCTCCTGTCCACAGCACCATGGCCTGGTTTTAAGTAACCATTCCCTTAAAGAGGCACCTTGGTGACGCTCAGGCACCCAAGCACAAGGGAGCTGTGGCTAATGAAGTGGCTAAATAAATAGAGTTACAGTACAAGTCCGGGGTCCGCTGGAGTTTTCATTACTGCCGGTGCTTTCAAATGCTCCTGTCCAACTCTAATTCAACAGCAAAATACCCAAAATAAACAAGCTATCACATCAAATTCTCATCTCAAGGCAAGGTCCTGACTACAATGGCTGCTAAATTAACCTCCAAACCAGCCTCTGAAAGCATCTTTCCTCTGTTCTTTCTTCCAACAAGCACACACAGCTTCGCTTTTACCCAACAACTGTTTACCTCAAATCATTTCCACCACCTCAATAGAGCCACAGCTCTACCCTCAACTCGCTCACCAGAGCTTCATCTGCGCTATAGTCTTCTCTTTCTCTCACACAGCTTCCGAGTCCCAGAGAGAGAGAGAGAGAGAGAGAGAGAGAGAGAGAGAGAGAGAGAGAGAGAGAGAGAGAGAGAGAGAGAGAGAGAGAGAGAGAGAGAGAGAGAGAGAGAGAGAGAAGGAGGCAGAGTAGGGGGTGGTGAGGTTTGACTCTGCGCTGCTTTTGGGCTTTGAAGTGTGTGTTGATGAGAGAAAGTGGAGAACTGTGTTCAGACAGGCCCCTAATGAGGGAATTAAGAAGCTACGCCGGCCATTCCCCATACTAACTTCCCAGGCACCAACCAAGACAAGCATGTGTGCGTGTGTTCACAAGTGTGCGTGTGTGCACATGCAGAGGCGAGTCTAAGAGAAGGGCTAATCTGTCAGACTTAATCAAGCATCTAAAAGTCGTGCCTCTCACCTACAGTACAGAAGCAAAGCTGGCCTCAGCATTCGAGGTGCTACAAACATGTCCTTGAGCTGTGAACTTTCTCAACTTCGTAGATTTAAGTTACAGTTTCTAGATAATGGTGGGATAGTGAGTTATTGTTGAAGCGACTTATATCTTACCTGGAGGAGATAGCTCTCACAGCCGTTAGCCAAGATCAAAGTGAGTAACTGCTGTCTTTAAACAACTCCACATTCACTGCCCTGCTTTTTCCAATTCATTTACTTTGGACTCTGGTAGAAATTAATGTCTTGTGAGTGATTTTCTGCAGGAAAAACCCTCTGGTACTTCTGTTGCAGGAAGTAGAAGTAAGTCTGAGGAGTTAGGGGAAGAAAATGGCAGATTTTGAAATCTTTCTCATTAATAATCATGAATTGCAAACAGCAACACAACTGTTCCACTGTCTCCGTCGGCTTTGCAACGTTGATGTTTAATCTCCACAATTAACACAACCCTGAATATTTACCACCATGTTGTAGAGTTGCTAATGCTAACAGTTAGCTTCTGTGAGCTGAGGCATGCTCTGCTGGTGATGGGCGAAATGCATGAGACGCTGAGACGTTCTGGACCACCCTTCACCTACAGCTGCTTTTAGAAGACATACCCTGCTGGCAAATCAGCGTAGCTAACACTGCCACCATGGTGTGTCTTACGAAAGCGCCATGGCGGCACGGCCATGCCAGACTTGGGAATGCGTATTATGCCTTGGCGCAACAAAGAGTGGTGTCATGATCACATGCCGGCAACAATATTGAAAATGAAAGTAAACACGGACAGTAAGTTTTGCTTTTTCAAACTGAGTCAACTGAGACGGCAAACTGGAGCAATGCAGAGATGTGGGAGCTTTTCTTTGTTAGATCTGGAGCTCAGATTTCTAGACAGTTCACAGGGACTCTGGAGGACACCTTAAGGAGCCACTTGTTAAAAAAACTTAAGGAGTGCAGCTTCAATCGCAATAAAAAGGAAGTCAGGTTCTAGCTAAAGGGAAGTCCGTGACAGCGCAGAGAACCATGCCTCCTTTTTACCACCAGAGCATAACCATTTGCGAATAGCACACGATTGCGCCACTTAAACAATGACCAAAGGATCCCAGGTGCCGGCTCAGCTTTGTGGAAAATTGGAGGTATTTTTTAATGAAAGAGGCCTGTTGCTTTGGGAAGATGCCACTCAAAGGTTTGAAGCTAACGTTTGGATGCTAACATGAGAGACGCGTCTGAGTGAAATTTGAATGTAAATTATTTCGGATTGTTAATGCAATACTTGTTGTGGACCAAATGTCCTGGATGTAAAAAGACCATTCTTGTAGGAGATGGCTCTACACGGTTTATTATATGAGGCTTTGAACAGTGACGTGGAATTCTTTTTCATTTCTGAGTAAGTTGAAAAAGGTGTTTACGATGTCTACACTGGCTGAATCCTTGATTGTAATACATCATTGGAATCACAAGAATCATAGCTTTCAAATGATGTGTAATATCTATGTATGATTAACAAGTGTTGCAAAAAAGATGCAGATTTGACATATAAGCATGATGATAAAAAAATAATTGCAGAAGGGCTTGGCTTATCAAGTTAGAAACGATTTTAAATAATCTATTTCAGTCTTGATCAGGCATCCTAGGACCAGCCGACAGCTCAGGTTACGTCACAAGTGAACTGTTTCTCTAAACAGGGGTGATTCAAAGAGCCATCCAAAACAAGTAAGACATAAATTTTTCAGAGGCTACCAATAAATGCACACATCGAGTTGAAGAGAAGTCAGTTTGTGAGTGGGGAATCCGTTTGCTCCATGAAGTTTGGCTAGTAATTTGATCTGACTTACAGCAAATCTTGATTTTGAGACTGAAAAATGGAGGTGTGAAACTACAGAGGACAGAGAAACTCAAAAACACACGGAATTAAAAAACGGATGACAATAAAGGCTCTAATGGGCTAAACCACAAGAAAATCAAAGTCAGCTAACTTGTAAGATGAGTGTGAGTTGTACCTCTAAATATTACCTGAGTCTAAGAAGATTATTGCCATGGAAATACAAGGTGACTTGAAAAGAAGAATTAATAATGCTTTAACTTTAGTTGCCCGTTCACTTACGATAGTGTGAGTCTAGGTAGCCGTTACGAGGGTCCATGGCGAACAGTGTTCCCCTGTAGGGCAGGGCATGGTCGGTCAGGTGGGGCAGGGAGCCGTGGAGCTCCTTCTTGAGCAGGGATGGGCGCTCCTCTGTGGAGGTGGAGGGCTCCTCGTTTATGCTCCTGTCATGGGCGCTGGGCGTCTGGGTCTGGGAAGTGATGGCATTGCGCCTCTCACGGTGGTACGGCGTGCCTGAACTCTCGTCTTCTGCACATGCAAGAAAACAGAAAGAGAGGGAAGAAGTCAGATTCTGGAATATAGTGTGGCCTGGAGATCAACTCTCCACACCTGACATCTACAAATCATGATAAGTGTAAATCTGACAGGGTTTTGCTTTTCACAGATGTGTAAGTTCAGCAAATGACCATCATGAAACTAAAACTCCACATTTTTTATCTCACACAGCAGAGAATTGGTGTTCCTGCTCTAAAATCACCGTAGCCTGTCTAATTGTTTCAGAGTTTGCATCTTAAGCATTATTCTTTCTTTTGTCAAACAATTTCTTTCTTTTTCCATCTAAAGGGGAATAAAAGAATTGGTGTTTCTGAACTCCACCGAAAAATCTCACCCTTTGACCTCAGGCACGACCTATGAACTGACATGCACAAAGGTCAGCTAGCCTACTAGTCTTCCCAGCAGTTTGATGGCCCCGAGACTGTCTCTGGAAGCAGCATGGAAAGTTTAGGAATCTTTTTTTTCTTCCAAATTTGATTAAAACTCATTTAAAAGCATGTCAATTTAAATAAGATCATAGTTTATTCTAAGGTTTGTGTGGGTTACATTGTAGTTGCTCCTCTGTTAGGTATCGTTTTGGCAACATGAGGGACAAAAGGAACAAGGACAGGAAAAAGAGCACAATGGTATGGGCTATAACCCCCACAAGGGCCACAAAGAAAACAGAGAACATGACATTTCACAAAATACAACAAAATCAGAGCATAGCCTAAATAAAACACCAAACAGGAACTACAGAAAAGGTGAGCTCGTAAAAGGCATTTTTTACTTTTATTTTTGTTTTGTCAAATGTATTTTTTATTTTTTCAGTTTCGACATAGTTTCTGAATTTTTTCTAAATATGTTGAGGCAGATTGAGGTGGTTTTTTACTGGTCAGATATTTGCTTACGGTTAGGAATAATAATTTATTTTGAAATACTTATCTGAATTTATGTTTTTATATAATTTTAACTAAATGTTTTTTTATGAAACGTAGGTTAAATAATGTTACCTGTTCTGAAAGGTTTCATTCAATTAAATGTTTGATATATATTTTTAAATATTTTTTTCTTTTTTGTTGCATTTTGCTCCTCATGACATCCTATCCAGTAAAAATTTTAAGAGTCGTTCATTGCGACAAGAACTACAAATGTACTTTTTAATGAAAAAAATAACATTTCATTATTTTAAGTATTAATTTCAGACCAAAAAAACTCTGAGAACGGATTATTTAACTTTTTGTTGTATTATAAAGACTCATTCTAGAAAAAGTACTATTAATTGCTCTTGAAAGTTTTGATTCAAAGTGCAACAAGTTCAGAACAGTACAGACTTGTTCTCTTTATAAATATATACAAATGTCCAATTGATCCTATAATTTTTACCCTAAACCGGCTCCAACCTGCCCTCATTTTTATTTTCTATGACTTCACCATTAGGAGTCTTGGTCATGAGTCCAATGTTCCTTCCTGAATTAATACTCCTCACTGAAACCTGGCAAAATGCCTTTGCACTGGCGCCAGAGGTTCTGTTGTATTAGCAGCCTGACGATGTGAGGTGCCCCCCCCCCTGACGATGTGAGGTGCCCCCCCCCCCCCATCCAACAGCATTGAACTACCAATTAGAAACAGAGCAGAGGGCCAGATTAAAGAGCACCACCTTAAGCACTAAAAAGGGCCGCCATAGCGCTGCCACTTCACCGAAAAACAGAAGCGATCAGAAAGAAGAAGAGATTGAGCCTGAAAGACGCAGTGAGAGTGCAGGGGGAGCAGCTTGAGGGTTCCCACTTTTATTCCCCTCACTCTCCCACATCTATTACCTGCGTCTGGGCCAGCCGTGCCCCGCCGCATCACTGGCAGTGGATTCAAGGATGCTTAAAGCGGAACTGACAGCCGGAGAGGCAAGTCACTCTCATCCGCAGGAAATGACAGTGTCAGTTATGATATAAGTATTTAATCCTATACTGCACAGCCAGTGATCTTATTAAGGGAATAATGCAACTTATACGGTTAAAGCTGGATTAATAGGTCTGCGCTTGCAATGTGCAATATTAACATGAAGGGATTTTGGAATTGGGTTCATCTCCTGACATGGTTTGAGGAAGTTGAGGCTGTAAACTCTGCAGAGAGCAGGCTGCAAAGGGTAAGGCATGTGTGTAGCACAGACGCCTGCTGCTCTTCCACTCTCACAAAATAAATCTGTCCAGAAAAGTCTACAGGCTACAGATTTCTGAGCTTGCTTTTTTCCCCAATTTTAAAAATATACTAAATGTTTAATGAATGGAATCCATACAGTGCTTTGAGATTAAAATGGCTTGAAATGCTCGGAAAAACTACAGGAGTTCAATAGATAATCCACACATCACAGTTTGTTTGCTGTTTTAATTTCCTCCGGTCACAACTTTTGTCCCTTTCGACCCACACGGCTACTCAGACATGGCTCTCCGCTAAGAGAGGTCAAGCGGCAAATGGTTCAATCACAGCACTGTCAAAGTCCCACCATCCCCCTCCAGCTGCCGTGGCAAGCCCCAAGGAGGAGGTGGGGGTCATCACACTACCATATACCACTTTCAGGGGCTTCATTACTTCAGTTCATAGGATCTTAAATGGTTAAACAAACACTCTGCAGCACAAGGGTCAATTGAGCTTTTCTCCAGCAGGTTTTTCTTTTTCGCCACTCGTGGAAACGTTTTTGTACCGTGTTGAACTTCTGTCAAAAACTGAGCTAATGAAGACAGAGCTGAGGTAAAAACATGCAACTCTGAAAAGTTCAAGCCCGTTATGCTTAATTTTTACAACTCCTGACCATCTGCCCAACCAATCCTTTCCCTTTTCCCTTCCTTCATTTTTGATTCCTCTTTTATTTCCCTCTTTCTTTTCCCAAGGTTGCCGCATCCAGTCCTCCTCCAGTTTGCAGGTCTATTCAGCCCACAACACAAAAGCAGCAGGCCGGTCCTCTGTGGACCAGAGGAAAGCATGCCTTAAAAAAAACTGAAAAAAAGAACTATCCCGCTCTCTCTCTATGGTGATTGAATTTCTTAACATCTTTTCAAAAAGCGCTTAAATGCCTGGAGGCGAGAGGAAGAAACAAGCTAATGGTGGATGGGGAGCACTGAACAAATTTCAGAGCCCTTTCCTGCTCGCGTTTGAGGTTGAAAGCGAGCTCTTGCCTTTCAAGTTTCAAAGTCCTCCTTCCTCCCGCAGTGTCACTGAAGGATTTGAAAAGAAGGTAATTGTGCTCACTGCCGTCCTGATCAGAGCACACGCCCCAGCTCTAGTATTTCAGGAGCTTTCTCCGCCACTATAATGGTACCTGGTACTTCATTCCTGCATTCTTTCTCCCTTACGACTCTTTCGCCTGTTCCCTTTAACCCCTCTACAAATGCACCCTCTATTGCTCCCACTCTTTGGTTTCTATCCCTCTTTTACCCCCAGCAGGGCAGGCCACTCATTAAAACCTAAAACGCAGGTTTCTCCCCTCTTGTCTTCAGTCTCTATTGTACGATTCTAGATAAAATTTCTTTGGAGAAACTTCCTTAAAATGAAAGTATAAAAGAGTGTGTATGCAATGGCAAAGTGAAATGTCGAAAGTGATAATGAGATACGAAGTGGGGCCAATAACCGTGGAGTTGGGCTCTGGGATAAGAGGGGCTAAAGTTAAGGGGTCCAGCCAATTTTCAGAAATCAAAAGTGAAGAAAACCTTCGGTGATGTTGTTTTGAAAGAATGTTCAAGAGGCAGGTTAAGAACTGGGATTGGTGTCCTCGAGTTAAACATCCAGTTGGCCAAAAGGCTCATTGGATGCTACAATTCTCCCCAGCAGCCCTGAAAACCAGAGGAGGTGTTGTAGTCTCATCCAAAGCCAAGACATAATTTGTATTCCACCCTCTAACTTCTGAAAGCTCTGTGGCACAAACAGGTTTTGGCCGGGGAGCACATGTAGAAGCAGCAGAGGGGATATACAGTGAAATCACAAAACACTCCTTCAAAGCCCCTCTCCTCCCGTGCAATAATCTCTTGCTCCTTTTTTTTCTTTCTCTTGCAAATCAACTCCAGGGAAAGACTGAAGACTCCCCAATTAACAATGAGAAGGGGGGAAGAAAAATTCCAGCAGCTGGCTGGAGTTTAATAAGAGCACCTCTCCAAGCGGCTTAGGCTTACGTACCTGATTCTCCGGCCCTGGCACGGACGTTAAAGACAGAGGGAATCATTCACGATTAGCACAGGCTGATACAAGAGGGACTCTACCAAATCAAAAACAAGAGCGCGGGGGATTAGCGCAATTGTGTGAGGTATTTTTCTGATCAACTCCTTGGCTGATCTGTGCTACAAGGAGCTTTTACTGCCTTCCTCTTAACTGGGTTTAGTCATGTGGAGGTTACTGGGCCTTTCTGTACCTTTCCTTAAAAACTTCTTGAAAACTACACCTAAATGTGACAGCACAGAGTACTTTGCGTCCCCCCAGTCATCACGTCTTTTGGAGCTCTAGCAAATACAAAGTTCATTTTCTCTAAACTTTGCAGTCGTGCTTGATTCTGCCTCTGCAGAGAGAATTCATAGAGGTTGGCATTTTTTTACACGCCATTTGTGATTGATGTTTGGCAAAATTGTACAGAGAGGTCTGGATGGTCCCTTTACTGGTTAGCCATCTATTGTCAGCTAGCGTTCACAAATACCGTCCTCAATAATCATCCAGGCAAATTTGATGACTCCCATGTCTCAATTTGGCTCTTGGTACACCAACCCCCAGCTCCAAAACCTGCAGTCCCAGCTTGTTCTCATTGCCGCTGGGGGTCTTCAGGGACGCACCCGGAGCTCAGCATCTTGCAGTCCCAGGCCCCAGGCCCTGAGGCTGGGGAGGGGCAAATCAAAGCCTGCTTGACTCCTTCCTTCTTCCCTGCGCTCACCTCAAATCAGCCTCACAGCGGGGTTGTGTCTTTCCCAAGCCTCTGCCTGGCCCTTATTCACCCATTAGGGGGGACAGGCCCACCATAG